TGGGGTGCCGCCTTTTAAAGCCGCTCCGCGCCGGGGAAGCGCCGCCGCCGCCGCCGCCGCCACCGCCGCCGCCGCGGGCGGGAGCCAGGGAGGAGGAGGCGGCCGCGGCGCGTTCCCGCCCGCGCGGCCCGGCGGCGTCCCCGGGCCCGCGCTCCTGCGGCCGGGCTCCGGAGCGGAGACCCGTCCGGGAGACCCGAAACGCCCCCACTGGGGGAACTTCTCCGCGGACTTGTGAGGCTCTCGGGACGCGGGATCGCCTCAGCGGCGGCCTCGGCCCCGGGAGTTCTGCCGGGAGCGGGGAGGCCCTGGCGTCTCAGGTGAGTCCGCTGTTCCCTAGACCGGCGGGACACCCGGAGGCTGCACTCATCCCGCGGGGTCTCTGAGGCCCAGCGGCCTCGCCTGCCTCCCTAGAGACAGTGGGCTCGCCAGCGTGCAGGGTCCCAGGGAGAAGAAACTGCTGGGAAGACACTGGATCGCCCATGACCAAGCCTGACTGAAGGGGCTCAAGAGCGTATACCCGAGAAACCACGGCGCAGAGCCCCTCTCGGAGGCCGCAGCCCATCTAAGAGGTGGGCTGACTGTGCAGGTGAACCCCTAGGCCGTCCACTTAGCATGGCTGTGATCTTGGGCAAATGCCTGTCCTGGATGAGGGCAGGCGCTCCACCTGTAAAATGGGGGTAACAGTGGTATCTACCCCGTGGGGCTGATTTGAGGATGAGGGCAGCTTTTGCTGTACAATAACCTATCCATAAACGTTCGTTTTTATGAGCCCAGGGCCTGCCAGGTGGTAGGTGTTCACTAGATCATGTACACTCTTAAAAGCACCCACTGAGCTGGGACCAGCAGTGGGAAAGTGAGTTGAATCATCCTCACCCCTGCTGCCTGGAGTAGCCTGGTATCCTGTGGATAATTATCTGGAGCACCCTGGAGATTTATGGAAATGTTCACACCATGCACAAGCAATTATGAAGGGTGAAGATCGCTGCTAGATCTCTCCTCTCATCCCTCCCAGGACCCACTGGCCCCGCTGGCCCACTTGCAGAAAGCAAGCCATCAGCCTGCTTACTTTATAACAAGTGAAAAAAAAAGGTCTAGAAGGCCTTGAGGTGGAAAGGAAGCTGCTTCTCTGATGCTCAGTTCCAGGAGCCATCTCTTGTCCAGCGGAGTCTGTGGCTTGGCAGCTGGAGGTGAGAGGCGGGGGCAGGAGGGGATGGGGAGACGGCATGCTCTGCCTAGATGATTTCCGAGGTCCTTTCCAGCCTTGCTCTCAGGAGCCCTTTGGTTTCGTAACCCACATGATTCATCCTTTCTGCAGGTGTGAGTCACCCCTAATGGAGGTGGGAGAATGGAGGCGTGGAGGGAGGCCCAATCCCAACAAATCACATCCATGTTCACAAGAGCTCCTGCCAACAGCCCCTCTTGGAGCCTGGGGATCAGCATCCCACATGGCCTTCCCTTTGCTGCACTAGATGCAGCTTCACCTCCCTGCGTTCCCCTGCCAAGTGGGGTCAGCTGCTTGGGCAGTCACTCCAGTCCTGCCCACGCTGCAGAAGACAGGCACTGTGTGTCCCTCCTACAGATGGAATGGATGCTCGTCAGCTGCTGTCAATGGAGAGACAGGAGGCCCTCATGCAAACTGGCAGCCCTAGAGGAGAACCCGCCACACCTGTTGGACAGAAACAGTACCCAGAACCCTCAGCCTGCCTCTGCCCGACAAGGCCCTGGCTGCCTGGCCAACTGGCTTGCAGAAGAGGGACATTGGTCCGAGTCAAGGGGACCAGGTTGGAGGCATTGCATTGTCACCTGGCAGTAGTATGTCTGGGCAACATGCGTTCTCTCTCTCCCCCTTCCCCTGCTGGCCAGATGTCCCTCAGATTCATCCTGGATCCGGTGCTGTTCTTCTTTGAGTATATGGCCTGCTTCAAGGGGAGACTAAAATGCATCTGAATTTTTATTTGGAGAGATCTGAATTTATTTTATTAACAAGTCTGGTCCTTTGGGGCCGAACTTTCCATTTGTCATGGAAGTGCCGGACAAAATCTTGACTCCAATGTGGTAGAAAGACCAGCTTCCCAAAATGAACATCCTAAATCAAATCGCCTCCTGTGAGTTTCCTATTGATTTACACGGTGACAGGATTAGCTCAATCACAGGAGTACCAGCCCTTTTCATTGTGATAGGATCTGTAATAAAACTTGGCTAGTCGTCCTGCAGGGAGGGGATTTATTACTCAGGCTCCAGCTCTCCACATGGCCCCCGAGGTCTACACCGCTCTGTGGGGAGGAAGAGGGGTGCTGATTCTCTAAATTGAGGTCTTTGAGCCTCAGGAGGGACAGGATATGGACCAGAAAGGTGATTGGAGCCTGGTCATATTTTGGAAGTTTTGTGATTTTTTTTTTTTTTTTTTTTTTTGAGACAGAGTCTTGCTCTGTCACCAGGCTGGAGTGCAGTGGCACTTTCTCAACTCACTGCAATCTCCGCCTCCTGGGTGTTCAAGCGATTCCCCTGCCTCAGCCTCCCGAGTAGCTGGGACTGCAGGTGCTCACCACCATGTCTGGCTAATTTTTGTATTTTTAGCAGAGATGGGCTTTCCCCATGTTGGCTAGGATGGTCTCAATCTCTTGACCTTGTGATCCGCCCATCTCAGCCTCCCAAAGTGCTGGGATTACAGGCGTGAACCACTGAGCCCGGCCAGTTTTGTGATATTTATGTTAACATCTTCTCAAATCAGAAAAGAGGAGAAGACCTTGAATAATGTCTTCTCATGCCCACCACTGATCCCTTTACAGCGAGCATGGGATTGTCCAGCCAGAGCCTGGGAATACCTATGCAGCGAAGACCGCTGCACAGCAGGAGCCTTTGCACAGCCTTCTAGAGTGTGATAAGACAGACTTTGATGCAGAAATTGCCTCTGTGTAGGGAATAGACACTTTACTGAACAATTGCATTGTTGGCAATATGCTAGGTTCAGCAGGCCGGAGTGGCATCCCTTGAAAAACGTCTTGATGGACATCACCTTCCAGATACCAGAGATGAGCGTGGACTCAAAGCCTAGCTTTGTTACTTACTTGTGTGCAGCCTCAGGAAAGTTGCTTCAGTTTACTCTGATGAAAGTAATAGCAATGCTGCTGTTACCCCATGCAGAGGTGCTGTGAGGGCGACAGAAGCTGATGTGTGCAGAGCCTGGCACCAAGTAAGCACTCCATCAATAGTGGCAACAGTGACCGCTGCTGACCAGGAGCTCCCCAGTGGGATGGGGTAGTTAGGGCTGAATACTCTGGCCTTCTCTGGATGAGGGCTCACTGTCCTCATCTCTGCCTGGGTGTGCACTTTCTCACATTTTAACATCCCCAAATCAAGAAACATCTCACAGTTGGTGTTTTGCAATCACCACTGGCCTGGGCTGAATTTGAGGTCTTCCAGAGAGGGTTTGTGTTTGCTTCTGCCAGTGATCTGGGGACTCGGCTCCGGAAACTCCTTGGGGATCTTCTGGGTATTTTAACCCCAGAGTGAGAAGCAGCTTATGGTTCTAATGATCAGTGCAAGGCATGTCTCCCTATTTCTCTCTCCCCTCGCCAGGGCCAAGACAGAGACCTGAAGATTCCTTGCTGTTCCTCTCCACGGTGGGTTTATTTCTCATCTCCTCCGGTACTGACAGTGGAGCCTTTTTTTTTTTTCTCAGATGTAGTTTCTCTCTTGTAACCCAGGCTGGAGTGCAATGGTGCAATCTCACTGCAACCTGTCCCTCCCGGGTTCAAGCAATTCTCTTGTCTCAGCCTCCCGAGTAGCTGGGATTACAGGTGTCCACCACCATGCCCAGCTAATTTTCATATTTTTAGTAGAGACGGGATTTCACCCTGTTGGTCAGGCTGGTCTCGAACTCCTGACCTCAGGTGATCTGCCAGCTTCAGCCTCCCAAAGTGCTGGGATTACAGGCGTGAGCCACCGCGCCCAGCCGACAGTGGAGCCTTTCATTGTTCGTCTTTAGAGAGGCGCCTCCTGTGAGACTTTCCATCTTGGACGTTTTTTTCCCCCAGTAATACATTAAATAATGACACCTCTTTCAATTGAGGGTGTCTCTTAGATTTGATGACATATGATATGAATGCCTTCAAGACATATTGCAATAAAGAAAGCTATTGAATTCTTCCAAATATATTTGGTATGTCTGTGTATGTGTGTGTGTGTGTGGCATCTACTGACATCCTACAGAAAAAGTACAGAGAGTACAGCATTTTTTCATGAAAAATCTGTTGTGAGTCCTCAGCAATCTCTTCCTAAAGTAATTGCCTGGCTCATTTGAATTTCCAAATACCGCATTTCTATCAGGAGAACCGTCAGATACTTTGGGCTGCACAGAGACAGTGATGGGACACACAGTCATTCCTAAGACTTGACGGTGCTTCTTGAGCACAGATAAACACACACGGTCCCCAGGAGCAGGAGGTGTGATGCAGGTCACACACAGCCAGTGGGCCTGAGACATGGAGAACCCAGGACAGTCTAGACCTGTGCCTCCCAACCCTCTCCTACCATCCCCAAGAAACCTTTACCCAGGCCCAGGTTTCTACAAACCAGGGCTTTCCCCAGCCAGGACCTCTTCTCTCCCTTTTACTCCAAATCCTACTCACAGCTGCCACCCGTAGCCATGGTGGGCCAGGGGCCTCTGCTTCCCTGCAGCCCTAGGCTCCATATCCTTCTGAGCTCTGCTTTCTGCTCGGTGTTCAGTTTCTCAGTGGTCTCTTCAGTATCTGCTCATTCATACTGAGTTCTACTCTGTGCTGGGGGAACATGTGACCCTCTGGGGTAGGGTGGGAATGGCATGGGGGCAGCTCCCACCCTACTCTGCCTCTCTACTTAAACTCTTATTATATCTAGATCCTAGTTTTCTTAAGAAAGAGCCTTTGAAAACTGCTTCTCCTGCAAAACAGTTACGCTGGGTCTAGCAATTATGTATCCCAGGGTTCCTTTCCTAAACTCCCATGTGGAAATTCAGTGTCAAACAAGGAATTTAGAGGCCAAGAAAGCTGAAACTCCCTGAGAAGCTCTTCCTAAGAATGAGAGCTTGGCAATTCGTCTGCTTTTCCTTTTTGCCTCAGCTTCCAGGCGGCTCAGAGTCACTTGTGATAGAAAATCATAGTTCTTTATTTCTTCTTTGCTGCAGCAGGTAAGATGCCTTTCGTTACAAAATGTAAGGATGCCAAACCGAAATGAAGCCAGACAATAAGGACAGTTAATTATTTTGCAAATAGGAATTTGGTGGTAGGTGGACCCAGAACTGTTAATTCAGCAGCTCAGTGATCCCGGGACCCACGATAGCTTTTTGATTTGTTTTGTTTTGCTTTGTTTTAGATGAAGTCTAGCTCTGTCGCCCAGGATGGAGTGCAGTGGCACGATCTCGGCTCACTACAACCTCCGCCTCCTGGGTTCAAGCGATTCTCCTGCCTCAGCCTCCTGAGTAGCTGAGACTATGGGCATTCACCACCATGCGGGCTAATTTTTTGTATTTTTAGTAGAGAAGGGTTTTCACCGTGTTAGCCAGGCTGGTCTCCAACTCCTGACCTCATGATCCGCCCGCCTCAGCCTCCCAAAGTGCTGGGATTACAGGCATGAGTCACCACACCCGGCCTCAGGATGATTTTTCTATACTTTACCTGCCTTTCTCCTGTTCCTAGATGATTGCCACAGATAGGAGGATTATATCCTCTCAAGATAGCCTCCAGGGAGGAAGCATAAGAGCTACTCCATCTCTTGAATGTCTTCATCTCCCTGGGGAGGAGGCATCTAACCTTCAGCCCACTTTCTCTCAGGCCCCACCTATGAGATCTGGGTCACAGGCCCACTCCCTGCTGCCAGGTAATGGTAGGCCAGGTGAGCAGGGCAGCTCAGGTTGCTTTGAGCAGTCTTAGTTCTTCTCCCAGGGAGCGCTCCCTGAGCACATCGCTGCCCCAGACTGAGCAAAACCGGATGCTGTTAGCCCAGGGCAGCACCGCGGAGGCTGCGGATGAGCTCCTCGGGGGTCCACCTCCTCCTCTCTGCTTCTGTTGTATCACCTGAATATGGATTTTCTTAGGCACACAGCAGACTCCAAGCAAATGTTTATCACAAAGTGGAAAGGAAGGGAGGTAGGGAAGGAGGGAAGAGGGGGGAAAGGGAAGGGAGGAGGAGAAGAACAAAGGAAGGGAAGAATGACAGAGGAGAGGAAGGAAGGCTCAGGTATTATTTAGAATTCATGTGTCCCATAAATTAAATAACACAAATCAGCCTAAGCAGCAGTGACTCTTGACTTACCGCACCTCCCCGGCCCCCACGCCAGCCCCACAAGGAGGGAGTCGCACTGTACATAAGCCCAGCAGCCGGGTAGACCTTTTTCCTGCGAGCAGACACCCTTGGCTCCAGGGTGGGTTTCGGGTTTTTGGCCCAACTGCTCTTCCCAAGTAAGAGTGAATTGGGAAGTGGGCTCCCTCCCTAGTCCCAGCAAAGGGAGCAATGCAGAGGATGGGATGGGAATGAAGGCTTCGCAGTGACAAGCAGGAGAGAAGAGCTGGCCGGTCATCTCTTTCTATACAAGTCTGGTTTTAAGAAGCTGAGTGTAGAAATACATCATGAGGGCCGGGTGTGGTGGGAGGCTGAGGCGGGTGGATCATGAGGTCAGGAGTTCGAGACCAGCCTCACCAGCATGGTCCCTACTAAAATACAAAAAATTAGCTGGGCATGGTGGTGCATGCCTGTAATCCCAGCTACTTGGGAGGCTGAGGCAGGAGAATTGCTTGAACCCAGGAGGTGGAGGTTGCAGTGAGCCGAGATCATGCCACTGCACTCCAGCAAGACTCTGTCTCAAAAAAAAAAAAAGAAAGAAAGAGAGAGAGAAAAAAGAAAAGAAAGAAGTACATGATGGGAAATGGGCATTGCAGAGGACCTGCTGGGCTACAGCAAACACAGTGTAGCCCAGCTGGGTGGGGCTGAGGAATTGCAAGTTCCTACAGACCCTGCCCTATAGCTGCTCTCTTCCCCGAAGAGCACAGAAAGCACCAAGATCATTGCTTCTGGGTCCCCCTGTCCCTCTCCAAAGCTGCCTCTCCCTTGGTGTCCGGGT